TTTTTTTTTTTTTTTGGCAATGTTTTAGTTTTACCAGTTTTATAAAACTATACCTAAGTAATGTAACACCTTTTTTTAATGTATTTTTAGGGCATTTATATTACAACAAAACATTTTCAAACTTATGCAAACACTATTTAGAAGCAATAGTATTTAATATAAAAATGTCCGACAAGATTAATTATAGATTGCCAGGACCCCGGATATCTCCAAAACAGGTCATAAGTCACACTTTCGGCAGATTGGCCCATTTTTCAGGGCTCAAAAAATCGTTTTTTGTAAATATCTCGGCATCCAGTGGTCCAATTTTGATGAACTTTTTTTTTAAATTGTAGAGCTAAATGAGGGCTACAAAATAAAAAAATGTTCATTAAAATTGAATTACTGGATGCTGAGATATTTACAAAAAATGATTTTTTGAGTTTCAGCAAAAAGGGGTGTTTTTGGCCAAAAGTCCATTATGACCTTTATATTAGATATCCGGGGTCCTAGATTGCCAATCATTTTGTATCGCTGAGTGGCGAATCGGCAATTAATTAATTTTCAATCAATTTGCTCTTTCTAAAATTATGAGTTTAACTTAATTTTGATTGAATTTGCTAAAACTCAAATGTGAGTTATATATGTGATGTCCGGGGTCCTGAAATAGCTGTACTTAAGCGCAGGAATGTCAAGGTTCTAAGAGTGAATGGAGAATATAATGAGATGTGTGATGCTGAAAAAGCCAAACTCAAGGCCAGAATCGAGAAGTTGGAATCTGAGTTTAGAGATAGAATCACGAAAGTGGAATAGAAGCAGACTCTAAATGATAATTCTTTTAACTTCAGTTCATCTAATTTCAATTTGGTTGCAGATCAAGCCAACTCCTATTATGAGAAACCATTAGTGAATAGGAAAATGGATACTTCATTATCTGAAGAATCGATTCCAGAGGTGATTGCAAAGCAATCGGTATTAACTATTAATATATTCATTATGGACCAATGTGATCAGATGTCTTTAGAAAATAAAGAAACAGATGCTTTCTTGGATGAAGTGCATAAGAAAAAGATTAATGATGAGATTAGACAACGCAATAGGAAAAAAAAACTTTGCTTTAACGCTTCCAGCCAAACCTAAGAGCTAAAAGTCTCTTCCAATAGAGTCTCAAAAGGACCAGAGGCCTCAAATTCTTGACTCGATTACTCAGCCATACAATAGCACATCATCAAAAGCATCAGCTAATTCAAATAGTGAGGAAGTACCTTCAAAAGAGAAAATAGGTAGTGAATAGAATTCAAAGTGCAAGAAGGGGAAGAGTGTTAATAAGCTTAAGCAAAAATTATTTGCTTCAGAGTTATTTTCATAAGAGCCATTAATAGAACAAAATCATGTGACCAAAATTTCTGAGAGACTGAGACATTATGTCCCAGAAAAGTTACCTCTGATAATTCTAGCATTGATGAGGCTTACAACATCTAGCTCAATTATGTGATAAAGCTTTTGATGCTGGAGATAAAGCAAATCAAGCTAATCAGGAAAAAATTTTATGCTGGTACCTTTATATGAAAGATTTCATAATTCGGCTCAATGGAATTATATATAGAAAGTAGTGAAGGTAAATTTGGTAAAAACAAGACAAGAGGTTTACTGTATGATTCCATTACAAAACAGCTTAATTTGCTTCGTAAACAGAGATCTTAAGAAATGGGGTTACAACTTTAAGATGTATCATAAGATAGTTTGCGCAAGAAAACTCAGAGAGCTAAGAAAATCTATAAATTTATCGAACAAGTGGGATTAGATAAAATCAAGTATATTAAATCTTATAGTGCAACTTCTATTTCAAAGCTTACTAATGAACAAATTCAAGAGGTTATAGATTATGGAATATTTTCGGAAAAGTTACTTCTGGTAACAGATCATGTGACTGAAATTTCTGAGACATCATGTTCCAGAAAAAATTTGCCTAAGAATACTCCATCAAAAACTGAGGAGTTCCAGAATAACCAGATAAGTGCACTTATTCCTTCAACTCATAACTCTAATTCTTCAAATAATTCCTCTGGGACCAGTCCAGTACAAATGATTTCACCAGCCACACCTCAAGCAAGTGTATCACCCATATCAATTCCTAGGACTAATCCAACTTATAACCGATCCTATTTTTGTAACAAAACATTGGATCAATATCCTAATGTATAGAGAATTTAATAGTAAAACTTTCGATTATTATGGAATTACTAACGAGACTTTATGTCCATTATGCAAATTAGATCATAATGATGAGGAAAGTATAGAAGGTAGATATGAAGCCAGATCCTATTTTGTTAAATGTGAACAGCATGAAATTGAGATAGTTGCATAGTCTCATTGCCCTTTCTTATACCATAAATACATTGAAAGATGGCCTAACTATTTTCTTGGAATATGATAAGAAATATTAGTAAACTTTCTATCAGGGAATTTTAATTTTTTTTTCGAATAAATATGAGAATAAAAGGGATTTAAATTAATTTGTAATCATGAAAAAAGGCAACATGACCAAGTTCAATAAAGTATTAACACCCAAGTATCTGGATTGGCATGCCAAATTAAGTGAGTTACCAAGCATTTTAACAGATAAGATTTAATCCAATTTATACAAAAAATATAAAAAAGAAACTGGGCATGAGTTAGAGTTTTGAACCGGTTATATTTTTGGAAACCGGATTTAAAACGGGTGCAACCGGTTCGACCCTTTTCAAATCAGTTTTTACAAACCCGGTTGAAACTGATTTTTATACCTGGTTTTATATTTGTTTAATTATAATTAGCCGCATCTGAAGTCACGTTCCTAGTTTTCAATTATTAATAGTTAACATATGGAATTCTACTATGATCTACATTCCTGGATTAGAGTTTCCATTTTTGCATCAAGCTTACGCATGTACGGGGCACGTGACAAATTACAAATTTGCCATGAATTTGTCACGTGTAACGTACACTGTAATTTTGGCCAGAATTAAATGTGATCGGCATAAAATTGGCCGAGTTTATAATTCCAGCCAGAATTACAAACCCTCCAGAATTTGTGTAGCATAATTTTCTATAACTGATAACAAAAATTTAAGGTATCCCGGTGGCTAAACTATTTACCCTGTGTCACGTGATTTATAATTTCGTAATTCGGGCCGGCACTATAAAGTTTCGATATCACACCGGGTTGAGCACCCGGTTGCACTCGCTTTAAACGCAACCCAGTTTTTGCAGCATGAATCCGAATTGAACCGAATCATAAAAAAAACGGGTGGAACCGGTTTAAAAACCGGATGGTGCATCCAGTTCCAAACTCTAGCATAAGTCATGGCAATTATCAGAAGATCGCCTTCTCATAAATTCAAAGCCAGAAAATAAAGTATCCTATTTATCTTTTTCCTTTTCCGGTAAGCAATGGGCCTATCACTTTCAAAGCCAGACCCAATCCAGAATTAATTATCAAATCCGTCTTACAGTACTTCCCATACTTGAAATTCTGAAATAGTTTTAGAGAGATTGATAATTATAATTTTGCATCATCTCAGCTGTGGAGCTCACTATGCCCTATTTGTAATGGAAAACATAAAAATTATGGATTACATGGTGAATGGTATGGAACAGAATATTCTCACTTCAAGCAGTAAATTCAAGTTCGCGATCATAGTATAGAAATTTCATCATGTAGTCTTGCACTTGTATTTATTTCACATTTATCACCTGATATTAAAAGTCATGACCTCAAAGTATGACACTTTTTTTATATGTAGTATTGTAAAGTATGACTTATGTTGTACGATCAGCATGTACAACTATAAATGATAACCCACTTCTAAAAAAATCTCTTTCTTGAACCATATTTTTGCATCATCATGCCACCTAAAAAAGCACCAATTTACTGTTTAGTCCACGGGAATCCAGAAAGTTCTGTATTCAGGATTAAATATGATAAGAATATGACCATTGACGAGTTAAGAAAAGTCATATGGAAGGAAAAAATTGAGGTTCCCGAACATGTAAAAGCAAAGGATCTCATTTTATATCAAGTTGATATTAATCTTAATACGCAAAACCTCAAACGAACTGCTCTTGGCAATCAAGATGCCAACATTGTGAATGATTTGGGTGGTCAAGTGTTGAGTCCTATGGATACAATTAAAGAAATATTTCCCGTACTTGCCAACAAACATATTTACATTATTGTTTGTGTACCTGATGTTGCTAGTAATAATCTTATGGACAATTATTTTTTTGCGTCAAGTTTAAGAATAAAACTGCAATAAATTGAATAGTAACGTTCTTTTGTCTTTTTAACCATTTACTTTTCAGTTAGGAGAAACGATGATGTAATTATTGCTAGACTTGATAAGCTTGATCAGAATGTTGATAGGATTGATAAGAATATTGAAGATATAAAGAGAGAAAAATCTTCAGTACACATATCAGGCGTAACTGAAAGATATTGAACGAAAATTCAAGAATTTACTAGGACTCCGGACATCACATATATAACTCACATTTGAGTTTTAGCAAATTCAATCAAAATTAGGTTAAACTCATAATTTTAGATAAAGCAAATTGATTGAAAATTAATTAAAAGTCATAATTATGAGTTTTAGCAAATTGTGTTGATTTTACAAAGTCATATTTTATATTTGAGCAAATTGGTACTTTTTTTTTGAATTTAACTTATCCTTTTTTTTAACTTTTATTGATAATATTTTAAAAATATTAATTTCGGAGTCCAGGTTATATTTTGGCCAAAATTAAGTATAATTCCGGCCAAAATTAAGCATAATGCAGGCCCAAAACCGTCCGATTAGTTTCGCAACATTTTTTTTATTTTCAGTTTTTTGCGATTATCTCAGCATCCAGTAATCTGATTTATGCGGATTTTTTTTTAATTTGTAGAGCTCGATAAGGGCTACAAAACAAACAAAAAACGTGATTTTTTTGAAATTTAGGCCAATTTGCTAAAAAGTTATACTCATATTTTAAGTTTTAGCAAATTAGTATAGATTTAAAATGTGATAATTTGATTTTTAGCAAATTAGGTCTATTTTAGCAGGAGCAAAAAGTGCTAAATTCATGCAGATCAGTTATAAGTTATATATGTGATGTCTGGGGTCCTAATTTACTGGTATTGATTACCAAGTGACAACACGTGAAATAGAATTTCCAACCCTCAATTTTGATTTGGAAAATGAGAGGATTGATGCTTTCGGATGGATAGATGCCATAGAAAAATCACAAAATGATAGGTACAAACTTTATCTCAAGAATATACTTAAACTTGACACATTTTGAACACTTGAACTTTATGATCCAACTGGTGATGATAATTTTCTTAGTACAAATACTGATATCTTACAAATAAGACTTTCTGGAACAACAGACTTAGTTATAGTGGACAGGCATTCTATCGCTTCTCAAGCCCAAGAGAACATATCCGATTCCTCTTTGAGTTAAAGAAGGTTGTCAAGAAGATGCATATATTTAAAACCATAGCACAGCTAATTTCTGCTAATTTAAAAATAAAGTATTCAGTTCTGGCTGTATTAACCGATCTGATAGATGATTGGCATTTTTTTTGGCTTAGAGGAAAAATTATAATGAGGCTTAAACTTACTAGAACTGAATCTGTAGTGTTGATACGAAATAATCTTATATCAGCGAACAAAGAATTGATAGAATTAGCGAATCAAGCATTTGAACCAACTGAATATCCAGCGGTAGGGTTGGATCGGTCCGGTCCAGTCCAGTCTGGTCCCAAAAAGACCGGTCTTTCAACCTGGACTGGACCGGACTGGGACTGGACCGATTTAAATTTAAAGAAATGATTTTTAAACCTCTAAATTATGCTAAAACATTAAAGAACGTTGCGAAACGTTTTTTAATATGTAATTTAACAAATAAAAAATGTTTCGCAACGTTTTTTAATGTTTTTAATAGAAAACGTTGCAAAACGTTTTTTATTAATAAGTTCATAAAAAAAAACGTTTTTCGCAAACGTTTTTAATTATTTTAACAAACAACGTTACAAAAACGTTTTTATTAAGTAATTTACGTTTTGCAACGTTTTTTATTAAGCAATTTAATAAAAAAAAACGTTTTCATACATTTTTTTAATTATTTTATTAATAGGAAACGTTGCAAAAACATTTTTTATTAATAATTTCACGAAAAAAAAGTTTTGCACATTTTTTTTAATAAAAAACATTGCGAAAACGTTAAAAACTGAACTGACAATCGATTTTGGCAAAAACCGTGCCCTAGAAATAGATGAGCACAAAAATTGGCTCATTTTTATTGGATATTAATAATATGGGATCGGTCCCCGGTCTGGACCAGTCCTCAGATCTCGGACCGAAGACTGTGAAGACTGGTCCCAAGACCGACGCAGAACCGGTCTTTGCTAGGACCGATCCAACCCTATCCAGCGGTAATACAAGAAAGCTCTCAAATAGATATAGAATCAAGTTATTCTAAAGAAGAACTACCACCCAAAAGACAGAAACTTAGACATGTTATTGCAACTTCTAACGTAAGTTCTGATATAGATCTGATGGAAGGTTTTTTTGATACTATGAGTGAAGAAGAAATATTCAGATATAAAGCAAAACAAATTTTAACTTGATTTTTTAGCCAGCCAATTTTTAATGGATTGAATGATCAAAAAAAAATACCTCTGCAATCTGATAATGAAAAGAATATATTAGATTAGTTATAGTAGTAATTACAATTATTATGTGCTGATTATAAAATAATACGTAATATTTGTATCCTAATCCTCCGATCCTAACAAAAATCAAGACATTAAATTATTAATACCCGTATCAATTTTTATATTTTTCTTTTATTTCGTTAAAAATGTACAATATAATCACTATTAATAAAGTATTTATCGTTTCTCATACTGGTGTTGTATTATGATCAAATTTTGTATACATTTATTTTATAAACATCCCATGACAAAAGTATAGCGATCATTGAAATTGATCACCTAAAATGCGCAAAAGATATTTGGTAAAATCAATACCGAAAGAATACATTTATTTTTGCATGTCATTTCTCCAGCTACACTATTATCATATCAGTAAAACAATATTTAGGTATAGATATTTTCAGCAATCAATATTTCGCATATGGGGTTTGGGGATGTGTATGCTAATTCTTTGTCATTTTTATTGATTTGCAAGGGATTAATGAATGACGAAATGTAGTGCATAATTGCTAGTGTTATCATTTGAAGCGTCAGAAATGTCAAATTGAACAGTCATGACAAAAAGGCCAAGTAATAAAATGATAAGTGTTTTGATAATATTGTAATAAAATATAAGAGTATCACTAATAATTCTCAGTAAAAAATCACTAATGATGGTAAACAATGTAAATAACAAACACAAGGTAAAACAATTAAAACACATGAAAAGTTTACTACAAAGAAAAAAACTAACAAACAAATCATACAAAAATACAATACTTCAGATAACACAATCTAAACTCACTGTTAGATTTACCCAGGTATTAATAATCTTTATTCAAAAGAAAATATTGCTCTATATATGTTTATATTTTCATACATGACAGTTTGAACTTATTAATATTATTCTATTATACTAATATGAATCATCAATTAATTGTCCTTTTTCCATTGCAATTATTTGCAAAAACCTTTCCATTACCATTTTATATAAGTTCTATGTGTCTATATGATTCATCAACTATGTAAAGTTCAAGAAACTTCTCTAGTTAAACTAATAAAGCAATTTTCCACTGATCGAATGATAAGGTATCGGGTTATAAGCTATCATGATGTATCGGTCAAATATCAGAAATCCGATATGACATGATAGGTATATTAGTATCCGATATTATTTATAAAACTATATCAGAAAATTTTAATATGCCTATCAGTAATCTGATAGGTCATTGATATTTTTAAAAAACAATTGATTCATATCAGGAGAAGATCGACTCAAATTGAATGATTATCTGATCTTTTTTTTCCAAAAACGAATTACAAAAAAAATAAACTCTTTCATGTAACATTTTATTTTTTTTTTTCAACAAAAAGTATCATTTATATTTTAAGAAACAATGACTGAACGGTCAGTCTTTCAGTAGACTTAATTATAGGAATGCAAGTAGTGCGGAAGGTTAGTATATTTTTTGTTTTTTTTTTCTTTTTCTTTTTTCTTTATTTTTTTCACCTTATTCTTATTTCTTTAGGGACGAGTCTCTTCTCTTGGAATGGCGATTTTGGTGACTACTGAGAATGCAAAAGACGTGGAAGGTTAATATATTTCTTTTTTTTTCATTTTCTTTTTTTAATTTTATTGTTTTTTTCTTTACTTACCTAATTCTTATTTCTTTAGGAACGGTCTCTTCTCTTGGAACGGCAATTTCGGTGATTTTTAAGAATGTGAAAGACGTGGAAAGTTAGTATATTTTTTTTTCATTTTCTTTTTTAATTTTATTGTTTTTTCTTTACTTACCTAATTCTTATTTCTTTAGGAATGGGTCTCTTCTTTCGGGATAGTGATTGGGAATAGAGGCAAATGTGAAGTGGATGTGTGCGGGTCAGTATATTTATTGTAATTAAGAGACGTTCTCTTCTTTTTGTAGAACATTATTAATCAAGCAATTTAGACTCGGATTGACTCGACTCATCGACTCGTTTGGAGCACTACTNTTTTTTTCTTTACTTACCTAATTCTTATTTCTTTAGGAACGGTCTCTTCTCTTGGAACGGCAATTTCGGTGATTTTTAAGAATGTGAAAGACGTGGAAAGTTAGTATATTTTTTTTTCATTTTCTTTTTTAATTTTATTGTTTTTTCTTTACTTACCTAATTCTTATTTCTTTAGGAATGGGTCTCTTCTTTCGGGATAGTGATTGGGAATAGAGGCAAATGTGAAGTGGATGTGTGCGGGTCAGTATATTTATTGTAATTAAGAGACGTTCTCTTCTTTTTGTAGAACATTATTAATCAAGCAATTTAGACTCGGATTGACTCGACTCATCGACTCGTTTGGAGCACTACTGCTTCAGTTCTGATTTTTGGGTTTGGATATATAGGTGAGTTTTAAAGAGAACTTTTAAAATTTTTTTTTAAAAAATTTATTTAACTTTTTTTTCTTTTATTTTGTAGGTTTCAGCTTCAGTTTTTGGGTATTGGATAGGTGAGCAAAGCTTTGAAGCTTTAAAAACCTTATTTTTTTTAAAGTTTATTTAATTTTTTTCTTTTACTTTATAGGTATCAGATTCACTCTGGACAGGTAAATTTTGAAGAAGTTTGCGAAACTTCTTAATTTTTTTTAAAATCTAACTTTATTTTTTCTTTTATTTTATAGATGTCGGCTTTGACTCTTGCATGGCACGTTGGATAGGTAGGTTTCAAAGTTTCATTACGAAACTTCTTTATTTTTTTTAAAAAATTTAATTAATTTTTTTTTTCTTTTATTTGTAGATGTCGGCTTCGATTCTTGTATGTTGGATAGGTGGGTTTTGAAGTTTTGTTTCAAAATTAATTTCTTTTTAAATTTATTTAACATTTTTCTTTTATTTTAATATAGATATCGGTTTTAGATTATTAGATGTTGGATGGGTGAGTTTTGAAGTTTCGTTTTGAAACTTTTTTTCAAAATTTTTTTAAATTTAATTAACACTTTTTTCTTTTATTTGTAGATGTCAGCTTTGATTCTCTAACTTTGGGTAGGTGAGTTTTGAAGTTTCATTTCGAAACTTTATTTTTTTTAAATCTTTATTTTTTAAAAAATTTATTAATTTTTTTTTCTTTTAATTGTAGATATCGACTTTGATTCCAGGGTATCAGATATGTAAGTTTCGAAGTTTTACGAAACTTTAATTTTTTTAAAAATTAATTTAACATTTTTTTTTTTATTTGTAGATATCAGTTTCGATTCTTTGGCTTTGGATAGGTGGGTTTCAAAGTTTCATTTCGAAACTTTAATTTTTGAAAAATTTAATTGATTTTTTTTTCTGTTATTTGTAGATATCGGCTTCGTTGGATAGGATGAATTTTGAAACTTTAAAAAACATTAATTCTAGGCGTGATAAACATGAAATTTTGGTGAGTTTTTAATAGATCTATTATTTAATGAAAATTTACTTACATTTCTTTTTTTTTCTTTCATTTTTTTAGGTAACTAGTTTTTCAGACCTTTGGATGTGTAAATTTCTTTTGTAGATACAATAGATAGATATTAGATAGGATATTAGATAGGATATTAGATAGAATATTAGATAGAATATTGCAATAATTATAATAAATACAATTTATACAAATTTCAGAATAAAATCATAGACCTATCAGTATATAATACGTATAATGATCATACAAGTATCATACAGGTATTATTGAGGTATATAGATACTGATATGAGTATGATATCTATATGATATTTATAAATTGATATGTAACTTATATGTAATTTATATGTAACTATCTCCTTCATTAAGGGTCCAGTATATTACGTCATCCCCTATATGGCAAAAAATTGGAGATCATCTTTTTCTTACTTTCGTTACAAGAAAAAATTTTTTAATATTTTTCAAACTCCTGCTTAAAATATCTGTTAGAGAGCCAAAGTTTCTGGTTTTTCAAATAAACTTTAAAAAAGTATAGTATAAATATAGTTTACAACGAAAAACTACCATATGAAGTTAACAGTAGTTGCGAATTCTCTAAGGTAAGTTGCGAATTCTCTAATTAGACTAACTTTAAATTAACTTAAAACTTGCGAAACTTTGAGACTTAATAATATAGTAATTAGTTAAATAATTTATATCAAAAAATTAGCAAGCATCATATTCAAATAAAAATTTTTACTAATACCATTTTATTTTTTATTATCTTAAGCGTATTTGTTCCTTTAAACTAAATACAAAATATTTCATGTGTTGTGAAGTAATAATTAGATTATTATAATTTTATAATGAAATGGAAAGGCAAATAAATTAATTTAATAACCTTGAATTATATATTTGGCGTTTGTGGAGTTATTATTT